CTGTCCAAATCCAAGTATATATGTATCTGTATCTTTATCTGTATCTGTATCAAGTACCTGAGCGCGTTGGCGTTGTAATTGATTGTTTGTTGTTGCTGTTGATGTCGTTGTTGCTATTGTTGCCGCAAGCCCCCAGCCGTCGCTGTCTAATTATTCAGATTTTTATTGTAATATATATATATATATAGTTTGGTTCGCACAATTAAAAGCTAATTGCGTGCACTTTCAATTGAACAATTTACATAACTTTTTGTTTGCTTTGTTGGTTTTTGTCACATTACACAATGTGATGAATGCATTCTATGCTTTATATATGTAAATATATATATTTTATTATTATTTATTTATTTTATTTTTTTTTTGTTTAAAAGGTAAACAGACACAAGGGTTGGGGGATCAAAACAAACAGAAAAAAAACAACAAAAGACACAAGTTTTTTTTTTGAGATCGCTTTTTATGTTTCGATTATGGGGTTACGGTTTCGATTTCGGTTTCGTTTTCGGCTTTCGGTTTCCGTTTCCGTTTTTAGTTCCGTTTTAATCCCGATTTAAACTCTGCTGCACTTGTAGATACTACTTTGGAGTGTATCTTTATCCTTATATCTTTATCTTTAGACGAAATTTGTTGCTGCTGCCACATGCGTTTTGGCATTCAACAAACTGAAGCAGATTTTAGATACACACACACTCACGTATCCAAGAGTTTTCAACTTTTTTCTTTTTTTGCACTTGGAAAAATGTTTATATTGCGACAATACATACATATGTATTTATATTGTGTGAACGTTATTTTGTGATTTCTGCCTTTAGATTTTTGTACTTTTCCATCGACCAAGTGTTGTCTCTGCGTCTCATTTGGTTTTTCGTTCGCTTTTCCCCTATGTATTTTTTGTTTGTTGCGCGTCGTCGTGGAAAGCTGAACTGCGTCTGACTGCTGCCGCTGCTTTATTTTATTTTTTTCGATTCAGTTTTCAGTTTTTTTGTTCCTATTTAGCGGCTGGCGTTCTCAGCGCACGCGCTCTCTGTTTTGCCACCACCATCGAGCGAGGAAGCGAGCCGCTCTCTCCCGGTGTCTCCGGCTGGCCAGGTGGATTTAAGGGGGTTGCTTTGGGTGACCAAACGCCAGAGCGAGAGAGAGAGATCTAGGGGGTTGAGATGGCCACCGGGTCACAGGGGAGAATCAGAGAGAGAGAGAGAGAGCGCTCGAGAGAGAGAGAGAGAGTGTTGCTAAGGGTGGTTGGCGACTGCAAGGTTGCATTCAATGCAGCTATCGATTGAGGGGGTGGTTCAAGTTGCCAAAAAAAACAGGACTGCCAACTCAATTTAGAAAGCAGAAAGTGGCATGCCTGAGGCGACTTCAATTCAACATATTACTTCAAACCTTTATGAAAAAGTAAATAAATTGATGTCTCCATTGATTAAATAAAAGATTAATATCTTTTGAAGACAGCTATCGATTGAAGGGTGGTTCAAGTTGCCAAAAAAGGCTGTCAACTCAATTTACGAAGCAGCAAGTGGAAGGGTAGAATGTCTATTAAGAACCCAATTAAAAATATTATCTAAAATATTTATGAAACAATTAATAATAAGGTGCATCTTTCTGTTCAAATTAAACTAGAGATTAATGACTGCTTTTGCTTACATTTGTCAAAGGCATAAGTGCAAAATTTAAATTTCACTCGAAACTTTGATAGGAAAACTTTTTATGCCAATCTGACTTTGACTTTGTCTTATCAAATTGTATAAACCAAATGTTTATGTTACCAATACCAACATGTTCCAGAATATGAGGAAGAGCATAAATCCCTCTCCCATTTAGCATTTCTCAAATCTTCTAAACAATTAGTTTCAAGACATTTTTGAAACCAAAGAAAAGAACTTCAACTATCTTGCACATATGGTGACTCTCTCTGGGGGTCTGGGCCAAAGCCAAAGCCAAAGCTAAACACACTCATTTGCGTCAATGTCGAATGTCGGCTGCGGAAACGAAAAGCACGTTGTAAAAATAACACAAAACAGTATCGGCGGCAGCGAGCAAACGATCGGCAGGCAAACCCAGCAACAATAACAAAAAATCGTTAACATATCTACACGGCGTCATCGAAAGTATTAAACGTATTTAAGCCAACTGAGCAGCAATGAATGAACTGCGCCGCATTCGATTTTCCCCGAAATACGCTTTTCCCCCAGCAGCAGCAGTCCTATCTAATTTTACAGCGATCTATAAATACTAGCAAATTATCCGCTGTCAATCACTCAGTTTGGGTCAAGTGTTTTCTGGGCCAAGTGCAGCAGAAGTCGAAATCGAACCAAAGAAAAACAAAAAAAGAAAAGAAATGAAAACCGAAAAGGAAAACTTTTGAAACGCGCGATTGCCATATTCCATATGTACGCATATGGAGGCTAGATTTTATATATTCTTCTTCAAATGTACATATATATATTCCTTTATATTCATACTTCACGTTACGGTATACAATCTATTACGTTCGACTAGAACACGTCAACTGAATTAGTTAATCAAGCAAAGTCGAAAGATAGCCACAAAACTGTGCGACAATGAGCAACCTAGGGAGAGAGAGAGAGAGAGCAAAGCTCTCAGCTCTCCCTCTCCCACTGTCTCTAGCTAAAAGTGAGAGTGAAAAAGCGTGGGCACATTCCACACACACTCACACACACACACTCGAGACTTGAGTGTTGTGTGTGTGACGATCTCTTCAGTTGCTTCAGCCTCACATTTATTTTTTTGTTATTGCGACAACACTGCGTATGCGTGATGGCCCCGAAATATTGCGCATACGCAACCGGGTACGGGCCAATGTTGCCATTCTTCCCCTCATTATTTATATTGAATCACTGAATGCTCATCAATCGCCAACGCCAAATATTTATCTCTATGATTCGATAAAATAAAGAGAAATTAAGTTTACTAAGAGTAGGAAAGGGTTCCTACTCCCACTGTTAAATTTCGGGATAAAAGAATAACAGAGAACTGTTAACTATGCTGTTTTTGACCAGTAATTAATGTAAAGCTAAGAATTGTACTGTAAGGAGCTCTGATTAGGTTTTTGGATATCAGCTGTTCTTTTTAAAAGGTAAAAATATATATTTATATGGCAAAAAGTCTTGGTCCCTGTAATTATTATTTACATTTACATATATGATAGCAGACCAAATTTTCCTTTGACAGGAAGAGTAGTAAATGGTCCTTAAAACGACGATTAAATAGTATAATATAGTATTTAATGGCAAATTTGATACATTGATTAATATAGGAGAAATAAATAACAACATAAAAATGCTTGTTTGTTAACAGTCACAGTCATAACAGTAACATGTTGTAACAAACCCCAAGACCAAGTCTATAACACCTTTAAGAAAAAGCGTATTAAAGCAATACGAATAGACAGAGACACGCGCCAAAAGAGAGAGAACGCTTATTCCGTCTTCCCTCATTCTCTGGCACTTCCTCTTGGTTTCTCTTCTTCTCCTTCTTCCTCTTATCCTCTTCTTTCTGTCTGTATTACCTTCTCTCTCTTTCAATCTTTCTCTATCTCACTCTGACCACTGGCGAGGGAAGAGCGACAAGCTCGCGCCCACGCCAAATCGCTTTCATTGTTAACTTTATTTTGTGCGTTTTGATTTTCGTAGAATGGAATAAATATGAATGTATGCATACCTATACATATAGATATATGTACATTGGTGTAAACACAGTCGAGTTCAGAAAAGTAGAATTAGTTTTAAAGCATTTGTATTTTTATACAAAATATTGTAAATTGAAATTATTTTTTTCTGTTAGTGAATGAAGAATTTATTGCTATTCTTCGAATTGTTATTGATTGTAATATATATTTACATTTGTGTCCTCGTCTGTATATCAAAGTCAGCAGATTATGTAGACAAATAAGGTTAGCCAGATAAACACAAATATAATGGTTACTCATAACTTGAAGATTTTGTTGTACTTCTTTTTTAAGATTGAGCAAACTATGTCGAGGGCTTTGAATTTAACTTTTGAATGCCGGCCGGCAAAGTTCTATTTGGAAAAATATTCAAGCAAATACTATAGGAATTCATATTACAATACTATTTATTACGATGAGTGAAGAGAGTAGAAGAAACCCATATATTGTCCTAATTTTAAAAATCTACAAAAAATATAATAAAAATAATATAAATAAATTCTAGGCAGGTTTTGTGGAAAATATATGAGTCTATATGAGCTACGAAGACATAACTAGATCGACTCGGTGTTAGTAGTGCATTTTTGCACTCAAAACAAACATCTACAATAAATACATTACAAAACCATTCAATTTGGTATACATTTTATACAAAATATTCTTTTAATATTACGAATACCTCAAATACAATCAAGAATTAACTCCCAAGATCTCTTTCACTGCCACTGACAGACCAAATATATTAAAATTTGATGGATGACATTAAAAGTCAACGAAACGAAACAGAAATTTTCAGCTTGAAGACATTTTCAGCAATTCCACAGGCCACTTGGCATAGATATTCGGATATGAAGAAACATATATGAACGATAGAAAGAAAACCCACACATGGAATGAAAATATTTGTTGTAAGGCATTACTAAGTGGTATTTATAATATTTTAATTTCAGAGACCAGGCCACGCTTCGTGCGTTTATGGGGCAAGCTGGGATTGTGTGCGTTCTGTTCTTTTTTTGACTTTTGACTTGAGTTGACGTTGCCAAGAGCCGGAAATGACACAAAAGGGGGGGGTGGCTTCCCAAAAAAACATGAGTTTCATCAGTGAAGAAACTTTGTGTCACAAGTTCTCATAATTAATCGATAATTACAGGCATTAACTATCAAGGTTTTGGTTGTGCACTTCGTAATTTTGATTTTAAATTGACTTAAACCCTTTAAACAGATCTTACTAACTTAATTCCGACATGTTAACTTAATCTTGTTCCCCTTGCCATGCCTAAAAGTATACCTAACAATGGTGAATCCAAAAACTCACCTTGAGAAGCGTTAGAATCTTCTGGGAGAGGTCATAGTCAAAGTTGGAATACTTGGACCCACTCATGTCGTAGATGAAGACAAGACCAGCGCGTTGCGTCTCCGTGTCCTGAAGTGCACTATCCAGCTGGTAGACAATGCCCTGCAACGTGGTCTTGTGCGAAACGCTTAGCGGACTGTGGCGACTGGCGGTAAACAGGGCAATGGCAGCACCGCTGGACGTCCGAGCAGGCTGGAAAGCAAATTACAAATATATATTACTAAAGAGAATAGCACAAGAAAATCATGATGGACTAACCAGGATCGTGAACTTGCTGGTCTTCAGCTCGGAGAGCAGTGGCTCCACATCGGGATTAATGGTGTCGAGTGACTCCTTTTGTCGGATCTGCTCATGTTGCACATACAAGGATACCGCTCGCTCGACATCAAACTTGCGGGCGTTAAGAAATTTGACAGCTGTCGTATGCGAGATGTGGCGGCGTTCGAGCAAAGCTCCTCCTCCTGCTGTCGCTGAAGATGAAGATTGCACCTGCAGGTGCTGCTGTTGCTGCGCCTGTTGCTGTTGCGTGCCACCTGTTATCAGGTTGTGCGTGCTGCTGGTGGTGGAGGAGCAGGCTGAAGCTGCTGGTGATGTATTTGTAGTTGTCGCTGTTGCTGTGGTTGCTGACGGGCTGCAGTTTGCACCTAGGTCGTTGCAGAGATCAATGAATTGCTTCACAGCCTGTAAAATAAAATTAATGTTAGGCTTGTTCGAAAGAATTAAAAGAATTGAGAGATATTCTTCAGCTATAAGGTAAAACCTCCTTTATCTATGGATTATACTTAATATCATTTCATCCATTGAATTCTGAATTATTCCAGAAGTTTTTATTTAGAAGTCAAGTTTCTTTACTATATGCTGAGAAACTAGTAAGCAATTTGATCATAACCAAGTGAATTTATCTACAAACTAATAACATTATGGAATTCTACTTGCGTTGTATGATTCTGACCCACATGAAGTGGTTAACTGGTTTCCGCTTAACCATTTCCCATTTACCATTTGATGCATGGTCATTGATATCAGCCAAGTTGCAGCTGATCAATAAAGCCACCAAGTTTATAGTCCAAAGGAACTAGTTCAGTCCAGGCTGATTATAAATTTGAATGGTTTATGAGATGATGCAAACATTGCGTTCATTCTCACGAATAAACTTCGTGATGCTGTGCAATTAATCATGATGTCTGATCATTTCTAGTTCCCAGTGAATATAAGCTCACGCCCATGATCACATTCATTATTAAATATATGCATTATCTCCCAGCACATTTGTCATATAAATTTCTAGGGTATAATGTACCGTCTTTTCTGTCAAAAAAAAGTGCAAGTTTCATTTATTCTTGAGCGGGTTAATGGGTCACGTTAATCGACGCTGACGCTGACCCATTCCCCACTCCAAGGTTAATGTGCCATGTGGAGAGGCCTTTAAAGTGTTGGATCAACGAAATTCAAGTATTATTACGCTCAATTAACGCGACTCGTCATTATTTTATTATATGGTTCTCTTCATTATTCCTGTATGACTTCCTAAGCGGCTCTTTTCGGTATATCCGTTCCAACACCAGGTACAAATTCCATTCACCATTTTCAGAGCTTTTACAACTCAGCTCAAGCTGTGTGCCGTCAACTAATTAAACAATCCAAACACACACACACGCGGAACCGATAAACCCACCTGTTCGCTTCTTCGACGACGCTGATACAGATGAACCATCGTCTCTGCTTTTAGTTTACTTTAAGTCACTTCTTAATCACTTTAACTATATATATTTGGACCAAACATATGTGTACGTGTTAGCACTAATATATCCTGTTTGTGGATGACAGGGCCCAACCCTTCCCTTTATCGCGACCCGTTGCCTCTGAGGTTTTCTTGTCTACTGAAAATTGCAATCGCGACAGCGCTCCGCTTCGATCGACCGTCGGATCGGAAAAGGCAGCAGCGCTGTTGACGCCAACGTCGGCGTAGACTGATATCAAAAACACACTGGGGGAAAAACGTGAATCATTAAACAATAAAAGAATATTTTATGAAGGAGATGAAGGAGCTAGTTGTACTGTTCCTTGGTTGTATAGAATTTTTTTCATGGGAATCATATGCACAGATGTGCGAGATTTGTTTTGGAACAAATTTAAGGCCAAACTATTTGAACGAAACTTTCAATATAATTTTACTAGTGTATAAGTCGGAGCATTGCGAATAGCTGACATAGGAACGATCGGAAAACTTAAGTCAGTTACTATGAACAATAAGTAACTATGAGCAGTAAGTAACTCTGAGCGATAAGTATCTATGACCACTAAGTAACTCTGAACAGTAAGTATCTATGACCAGCAAGTACCTCTAAACATTAATTAACTATGAGCAGTAAGTAACTCTGAGCGGTAAGTATCTCTGAACAGCAAGTTACTCTGAACATTAATTAACTATGACAAGTAAGTAACTATGATCAGTAAGTATCTATGACCAGTAAGTATGTATGATCAGTTACTAACTTTGAACACTAATAAACAATGACTTGCAACTTTTGTATCACAACACGTATCCGAGACTTGGCTGGTAGAAGGCACTTCGTTCCGGGGATGTTAGAACAAGTTGGGAATCATATGCACAGATGTGCGAGATTTGTTTTGGAACAAATTTACGAGCAAGCTATTTAAATAAAACTATGGAGTTATTCTTCTATATAATTTTACTAGTATATAAGTCGGAGCAATGCCAATCGGTGGACTATATAAACATATATATAGCTGCCATAGGAACGATCGGAAAACTTAAGTCAATTACTATGAACAGGAAGTAACTCTGGACATTAATTAACTATGAGCAGTAATTAACTCTGGACGGTAAGTATCTATGACCAGTAAGTAACTCTGGACATTAAGTAACTATGAGCAGTAATTAACTCTGGACGGTAAGTATCTATGACCAGTAAGTAACTCTGGACATTAAGTAACTATGAGCAGTAATTAACTCTGGACGGTAAGTATCTATGACCAGTAAGTAACTCTGGACATTAAGTAACTATGAGCAGTAAGTAACTCTGAGCGATAAGTATCTATGACCACTAAGTAACTCTGAACAGTAAATATCTATCACCAGTATGTATGTATAATCACTTACTAATTTGAACACTAATAAACAATGACTTGCAACTTTTGTAACACAACACGTATCCGAAACTTGGCTGGTAGAAGGCACTTCGTTCCGGGGATGTTAGAACAAGTTGGGAATCATATGCACAGATGTGCCAGATTTGTTTTGGAACAAATTTACGAGCAAGCTATTTGAATAAAACTATGGAGTTATTCTTCTATATAATTTTACTAGTATATAAGTCGGAACATGTCGAATCGGTGGACTATATATATATATACATATATATAAAGCTGACATTGGAAAATTTTAAGAATAAAATTATAACTTTTCCAGTTTTCACCCAATTAAAAAAAATAGGGATAATATAAAACCCTTATAAAAATTTTGAAAAAAATAAATTTTTGTCGGATCGATTCGGCTGTTAATGCTGATCAAGAATATATGTATATGATTTATAGAGTCGGAAATGAGTCCTTCACTACAATTTGACTACAATTAAAGTACCTTTGCAGGTTATGGTTATTCCTTTAATAAAATCTTTTGAAGTCTAAATGTGGAATGGTTATTTACATACAATTTGAATTTATACTTTTTCGTTAAGTGTATTTGGTGCTGCCGCTGTGCTGCGGTTAACGAACTGCAGCAGTAGCGAACGTTTTGAGCAGCGTTTTCTTGGAAGTAGAGACGCAGGCGGCGTCAGCGGCGGCATACCAACAATTTGAGTCATGCGGGAGTTGCCTCCGCCACCATATGTCGCCCTTCCGCACAGTGGGACAGACCGAAGATAACGATTGTGATTGATAAGGATTTGGAAAGGGGGAAAGAAACACAAACCTTCTCTATAACTTATCGATTAAATCGCATTCGTGGGAAGTCGAGGCCATTATCTCGCCAAATTCGAAGAAGTGAACTCTATCAATTAGCATGAATTTGTTTCACGTTTCAGCAAAAATGCAATTTCACGTTGAACATTAAGGCAGTGCCGAAAGGTTGAGAAAGAAATTAAATAAATATATAAGAAAACAATTATTTACTAATTGCATTATACCTTTGCTAGGTATTATAAGTTTAGTCTGAAGTTCGGAATGCTAAGCAAGCTTAGCTTCCTTTCTTGTTTTTTGTAGTATGAACTTTGAACCACTGTACGAATGCCAGGGACTCCTCCGTAGCTGATTCGGATGATGCCAAGTCCAAATAAGAGGTGACCGATGCGATGCGTCATTTTATTTATGAACACGTTCGTCTTACCTGACTCTTTCTACGAATACATTATCATCCCGGAGTCTGGGACAGCGGCTTAATGGCTCAAAAAAAAAAACCGTTCAATGCCTTGTGACATAATAAATAAAAAGAAATACCAACAAAATCAGAGATAAGAAAGTAAAAAAAAAAGAACAGATAAGAAATTAAAAAAAAAAATTAAAAAATAAAAATTTAAAAAATAAATACAAATACTTGAGAAAAATAAACTAATAAAAACTATAAGCTTATTTATATTCTGACACCAAGCCGGATTTAAAAATAACTCCAAACCAGAAGGAAAGCTAACACCGGAAAGAAGAATATTGCATTACCCTTGCAGTAAATCAATCATAACTAAGCCAAAAATGCATTAATTTTAATTCGGAAAGCTGTTCTGCGCTAGTTTTTTATAGGTTAATAAATCTGCATACTTCAATTTAAAATTAAAAAAAAAAAATGGAAATTTTTGTCAATTTTTGAAAATTCTAACGATGTAACCCCTTATAAAAATTTTGAAATTTTGAAAAATATAAATGTTAGCAAGACACATCTAGATTGCTTCGTCTGTTGATTCTGATCAAGAATATATATAGTTTATAGGGAGGGAAATGACTCCTTTACTGTTTTGCAAGCTTCTAACTAAAATGATAATACCCCGCAAGGCTTAAAATAAATTATAAATACAAGAAGTAAGAAAACTATAGTGCGTTTATCTTTAAGATACTTTCTTCAGCTTGAGCTCATGGCTCGAACCTCAACTAATTATCTGAGTCGAGGGCGACTAACTTTATTGTTAAATACATTTATATTGAATATATATTATATATAACATAAAATTGATCTGCGCTTAATCTACAAAATAAATAGTTCTGTTACTTAAAGACTTTTGAGATCGAAGAGTTTATAAATGAACCTTAAAACATGTTTACATTTTTGTACAAATATGAAACATAAAAAAAAACAGACAAAAAATTCGATCCTGCCAGGAGTCGAACCTGGAATCTTCTGATCCGTAGTCAGACGCGTTATCCATTGCGCCACAGGACCGATAGCCCAGGTAAGACAGAATCTATATATGAATATCTATGAATACACGTGTGAGCATGTTGGGAGCAAGCAGTCACACTTGTTGAGTGGAACTGGGTCTATTTATGTATGTATGTTTATGTTGCTGTTGTTGTTAGCTTGGCCTAGGCCAACAGGTCACCGAGTCTTGTCTAATTTTAGATATACTCGCTAATGGCACCACGGTCGCTACTTTCACTTCTGCCGGGGTAGGAGATAGGAGCGGGACTGGTATTCGCTGAAGGAGAGAGTCTCTGTATGCTCTGACTAACTTCAGTGGAATTGATCATGACGATTGTGATGAATATACAAATTGAGTATGTATTCACACAGATGAATCTTTAACACTAAAATTGTACCTCAATCAATCAAATAAGATAATGTTTACAGAAGATACATACATTGTTTTGAATGAGCCTTGAATGTCATGAGAAAATAAAATATTGAACATGTTGGTAAAATCCTAAAATTACTCATACGTGTTGTAGATCTTTTCATATTTATTACAGCAACACAAGATGATTTTCCAATTAGCAAAGCTATAGAGAAAGAGAGAGAGAGAGAGAGGAAATGAGGCAGAAAGCGGAAGGTGAAGCACACTCACTTCCGGTTTCAGTTCGGGTTCTGGTTATGGTTATGCCTTATGGTTGTGCTTGTGGTTATTAACGTAAATCTCTTGGCTCTGACAGCCAGTAAATAGAGCAACAAGTAAGGCCAATGCTGCTGCCGGTCTTATGCCTAACTGTTTGCATGCAAAGTAACAGCGACAGACATGATGGCAAAAGCGGTTCCATTTCGTTCCGTTTGGATCGGCTTAGATCGGTTCGGTTCTACGGTTTGAAACTGTAAAACTAAGCTCGAGGGGTTTTTAGTATAAGTTACTAGTAAATCAGAGTCTCTGGATCTTTGGAGAGAGAGAGAAGATCTTAACGGACGCTGAGCATGAAAGATGGTTCTAAAAGAAAAAAAAACAACAACAAACGAATAGCGATTGGAAATCTTCGAAGCAAACAGATTCGCTTGGGAAAAGACAGAGAAAGCAGAGAGACTTCTCATAAACTTTTAAATGATTAATATACTTAAGGCTGCCACTACAAGTGCAATGATATAATAAAAATAACAATAAATACTTTGGAAACATAATTATATAGTGTTTGCAGAACTGTACAAGTTTTTCCCCGATACATTTATAATCGTAATAATGTCTTTCCTAACCTTTACAACATTTTATCCTAACTTTTATAACCTTTTATCCCAAACTTTATGACTTGTATCCCCTTCCTCCCTTCCAACTCCTCTCCAAGCCCTACCATTATTCACGTTATTCCAACAATTTCCTTTCACAGGATGCAGGATATTGCTGACAGATTGTTGTCTGAGAATATTCCACAGTTTCACCAGCAGGAAATACACAGTGAAGGGGTTTTCTGGGAGGGTCGACTGTCTAACTTCCTCTTACACTTTCACACTTTTTATTCGAAATACTCGCTCTCTGTGCGGTGAATTTATGAAGCTTCCGCTAAATGCGCAGACGCAAATTGGTTTTTAGGAGGTAAAAAGTGGACGCTGTGCAAAAAAACAAAAGGAAAAATTAAGTTTGAACTAAAGTACTCTTCGTTGTATAACTTGAACTCGAATAAATATAAAAAAACTAAACAGCTTAGCAAAAAATATATTAATTACGATTTAAACTTAAACCTCTGTCCTAGGGGAATCATTTTTGTTAATTAACTATAAGTTCTAAGATTTATTATATGATTTGTACTATGTCTATCGCTCAAAGAATAAGCTTGGGGCCTTTTGTAACGGTTTACCGTCTTTGTTTAAACATATAGCCCCCTATGCCACGGCCATTTGCATATGAAGAAATGCTTTCAAGAGAAATGCAAAGCCAACAAAGACTCTGAAGCGGCAGCGAAATTTCATTTGAACCCGAATCCGAATCCGTTTCGAGCTCCAAACGGAACTTGGCCAGCAGAAGAGATACGACCCAAAACACACAAAAGAAACCAGCTGTGAAACATGATTATATACACCGTGGCAAAATTTTCCATTAAATTCGAATATACATATATTATATAGGAAGAAGTCATAGGTAAATATTACTAATTAAAGCATACCCTGGGACTCTCAACTTCTGAGTCACAAGTACAAAAATACACAAAATTAACACCTTCACAAGTGTTCACTTCAAATCAAATTGATTAACTGAGATTTTAGTGTGTGATTTGAAGTACTTTTTAAGTGTTAAGCACTGAATTTGGCTATCGGCTAGTTTAGGTTGTTTAAATTCTACTATGACTAAGTAAATTTGTTAGATTTGTTTTGTGGTTTCACCGAATTAAAAAACAAGAGGTATGACTTCATGGAAAGATGTTCTGTTTTATTTCAAATATATTATCAGTAAGTTCCTCTGAACAGTAAATAATTATGAGCAGGAAGTAACTCTGAACGATAAGTATCTATGGCCAGTAAGTACCTCTGAACAGTAAGTATCTATCACCAGTAAGTATGTATGATCAGTTACTAACTTTGAACACTAATAAACAATGACTTGCAACTTTTGTATCACAACACGTATCCGAGACTTGGCTGGTAGAAGGCACTTCGTTCCGGGGATGTTAGAACAAATTGGGAATCATATGCACAGATGTGCGAGATTTGTTTTGGAACAAATTCAGGAGCAAGCTATTTGAATACAACTATGGAGTTATTCTTCTATATAATTTTACTAGTATATAAGTCGGAACATGTCGAATCGGTGGACTATATAAACATATATATAGCTGCCATAGGAACGATCGGAAAATTTAAGTCAATTACTATGAACAGTAAGTAACTACGGACATTAAGTAACTATGAGCAGTAATAAACTCTGGACGGTAAGTATCTATGACCAGTAAGTAACTCTGGACATTAAGTAACTATGAGCAGTAAGTAACTCTGAACAGTAAGTATCTATGACCAGTAAGTAACTCTGAACGATAAGTATCTATCACCAGTAAGTATGTATGATCAGTTACTAACTTTGAACACTAATAAACAATGACTTGCAACTTTTGTATCACAACACGTATCCGAGACTTGGCTGGTAGAAGGCACTTCGTTTCGGGGATGTTAGAACAAATTGGGAATCATATGCACAGATGTGCGAGATTTGTTTTGGAACAAATTCAGGAGCAAGCTATTTGAATACAACTATGGAGTTATTCTTCTATATAATTTTACTAGTATATAAGTCGGAACATGTCGAATCGGTGGACTATATAAACATATATATAGCTGCCATAGGAACGATCGGAAAATTTAAGTCAATTACTATGAACAGGAAGTAACTCCGGACATTAAGTAACTATGAGCAGTAATTAACTTTGGACGGTAAGTATCTATGACCAGTAAGTAACTCTGAACGATAAGTATCTATCACCAGTAAGTATGTATGATCAGTTACTAACTTTGAACACTAATAAACAATGACTTGCAACTTTTGTATCACAACACGTATCCGAGACTTGGCTGGTAGAAGGCACTTCGTTCCGGGGATGTTAGAACAAATTGGGAATCATATGCACAGATGTGCGAGATTTGTTTTGGAACAAATTCAGGAGCAAGCTATTTGAATACAACTATGGAGTTATTCTTCTATATAATTTTACTAGTATATAAGTCGGAGCAATGCCAATCGGTGGACTATATAAACATATATATAGCTGCCATAGGAACGATCGGAAAACTTAAGTCAATTACTATGAACAGGAAGTAACTCTGGACATTAATTAACTATGAGCAGTAATTAACTCTGGACGGTAAGTATCTATGACCAGTAAGTAGCTCTGGACATTAAGTAACTATGAGCAGAAAGTAACTCTGAACGGTGAGTATCTATGACCAGTAAGTAACTCTGGACATTAAGTAACTATGAGCAGTAAGTAACTCTAAACAGTAAGTATCTATGACCAGTAAGTACCTCTGAACAGTAAGTATCTATGACCAGCAAGTAACTCTGAACAGTAAGTATCTATCACCAGTAAGTATGTATGATCAGTTACTAACTTTGAACACTAATAAACAATGACTTGCAACTTTTGTATCACAACACGTATCCGAGACTTGGCTGGTAGAAGGCACTTCGTTCCGGGGATGTTAGAACAAGTTGGGAATCATATGCACAGATGTGCGAGATTTGTTTTGGAACAAATTTACGAGCAAGCTATTTAAATAAAACTATGGAGTTATTCTTCTATATAATTTTACTAGTATATAAGTCGGAGCAATGCCAATCGGTGGACTATATATATATATAATGGCTATATATTTGACGAAAGTTTGCTTTAAGAAAAATATAACTTTTCTGTACATTTTCGTCAAATATATAGCCGTTATATATTAATCTAGAAGTTTGTATAAAATTTTATGAAAATCTGACTTTATATATTGTGAAAAATAGAGGAAAATGCATGTAAAACTCTTAATATAAAATGTATAGGTGAGTGAAATGAAAGCAGGCATTTTAACATAAATATATATAATTTATACTGTATTAATTGCTATTGATCGAAGTTCTATCTCTACGGGCATACGAACTTCGGCGTGCCGAATTTAGCTCCGTTTCTTGTTTAATGGTCAATCTGATAAGATACCGACTAAGCTGAAGCACAAACACAGCATCTGAGATGAGATAAAAAAGAAGTTTTTATTCTTTTCAGTAATTCTTTCTTTCTTTCCATTTTCCAGGTGGGAATTTATCATCGGAGAGCTCTTTGTTCGATGCTAATGAACTAGGTGAGAGCAAGAAGGAGAGATGTGGAGAAAATAACAAAGAGAGAGAACAACAAAAACAACAACAGAAGAACACATCTTGAAAAACTTGAAAGGAAGATACACAGAGAGAGAGGGAGAGACGGAGAGTTGGAGCAACAAGTTGAGTTTGATGTTTCAACGAAAAGGAGCAGAAACAGGCAACAACTAATAAAGTGAGTCTATTTATAGACGCAGCTCCACAAAAAATGATGGAGATTGACGGACGCAAAAGGGAGAGAGCATATACTCCTGAAGCAAAGCTTAGAAAGTTAAAATCCAAGTGCAGTTGAAAAGGGATGGCTATATGTACCCACTCACTGACACACGCACCTTGGCAATGCATAGGAAGAGACGCTGATGACAACCGGTGCTCCCTTCGCTCCTGCTCTTGCTTCTGCTGCTGCTGCTGTAGCTATTGTTGTTGCAGCCATCTTCCGGCTTGTCCTTATTCCATTGTGTTTCCTGCATTTTGGGTCATTTTTTGCACACGAGCAACGCACATACACACACTCACAAAACAAATAAATAATAACTATGAACTAGCATTAATAAATTCCATCACAGAGCAACGCCAAGCGAGATGGGATGAGATGAACGCGAACGCGGACGACTGACAACAAACAATGAACAAAACTCGCAGCGCGGCGAACGACCAACAACAGTGCAGCGCCACGCTCTGCCCGCGCCGGCAGAGCAGAACTGAGTGGCTGTGGCAGTGGCTGCGGCTGCGGCTGCGCAAGAGCACGTCGGAAAAGAGAGAATAAATAAGGAAGGGGGAGAAAGAGGCTGCGCAGTCCGCCCCTTTGCTGCTGCCATTGGACTATGGGGCAAATTTCCACTGTTTTGTGGCATTAGTTAATTACAAAAAAACAATAAAATCTGTTTAGTCAGAAGCTTGTAAAACTATGAAGGAGTCATTTCCGACCCTATAAATCATATATATTCTTGATCAGCATCAACAGGCGAATCTTTCTAGCCATTATTTGGCAGAAAACAAAATTTACCAATTTTTTCAAAATTTTATAAGGGGTTACATCGTTCAAATTAAAATAAAAATGACAAAAATTTTAAATTTTTAATATTTTAAATGGAGTATGCAGATTTATTAACCTACTAAAAACTAACATGGAAAAGCTTTCCGAATTAAAATTAATCAATTTTTGGCCGAGTTGTGAAATTTTTAAACTTTGTTTAGTCGACAAAATAAGCACATAAAAAGAGCGATTAATATCGATTCAAATATTGTGAATATTTTAAGTTTAGTTTGCCTTTTTCCCCCACAGTATGTTGCTGCCACTGACACAGTTCAATGTCAGCCCCACAGCGAGAGAGAGAGAGAGCGGACTGTTGGAGAGTGGAGCTGGAGAGAGCGAGAGATCACGTTAAAAGGATGCCCATTAACAGTGATCTCTGTTAATCGCCAGCCAGTACAGTAGAGCTTCGGCAATGTTAAATTTCCGTAACTTAAAATCATAATTAAATAAAGCAAACTAAACATAACTGTGTTAATCGTACTATTTTAAATAAATTACAGTACGATGGATATATAAATAATTTTAATCTGATAGCTAGAAGGAACTTTTTAACATCAAGAGCAGAAAATTGAAGCCCCACTGTATTCTTACAGCTGAAAAATGAGAAAACATGTTAAAGAAAATAACCAAATAAAGCTAAACTTGCACGCCTCGCCGAGCGACTTATGTGCTTAATTGAATTAAACAATTTTCGTTGAGCGGCACTCGCTTATGACTTCTTATGAAAGTGTTAAGAAATTTCGCCTGAGTTTCGGAATGGATAAATTTCACTTGCTTCTTGTACGTCGCGACGGGCTCTCGCATATGTGAGCTGTCCGTGCTTTGTTTTCTACCATTTGCGCATGATTATTGTTATTATTTTTTTATTATTATTACGCTTTCTTGCGGTGTGCGCCCGACTCTTGATTATTTGAACAAAACGCTCGCTTAAGACTGTCCCTGGCTTAGCCCCCCTTTTCCCCTTTCCCCGTCTGCCAGGGGGCGTGACATTGAGACAAGACACAAGCTTCCAAGCATCACGCTTATGTCTCAGTCTGTCTTTCTGTCTGTTGTTATTATTATTATTTTCATTGTTGTTGCTGTTGGCTTAAAAAACTTTCTTTTCAATGCGTTTCATACACAAATCCGCATCGAAAAGAAATCACCATAGCTTATAAACACACTTATATATGTATGAATGTGAGTCGGTCTACCGATATATCGATCTGAATAATCGTTGCTACAGTCTTACCACCGCAAACCTAAAAGGAAAAGCTAAGGGTCAGATTTTAGAGGTTCGTAATACTAAGATTATCTATCTTACTATCAAAAAACATTATAATAATTTATTGAAATAGCAAGTTTCCAAAGTACTCAATTGATAATGTTGATAAAGAAAAGACTTAACCACATAGAGATTTCTTTCTACCCGTAGGGATTAAAATAGTAAACTTTACTTAATTAAAGTTGAAGTTTAGCTAAATTTAAAGGTAGACCAAAAAACAATACTTTATAAAATATGTCAAGAAATATTAAAAATACAACATTTTTAAAAAACCCTTTAAGGCACTTATACAGTGTTTCATTTAAAGAATTTATACTGTATTTTGTTGCCCTCAAAACTAGTTTGATCTATAAAAAACACACTCCGGCGTAACCCACTTTGTCGTAGAAAGTGATCACAAATGGGATTAGTGGTATATTACCATTTCTTTGGACTTGAGCATTATGCAATGCAATGGGATTCCAAAAAAGAAAAAACCCGACTGTTTTGGGCCCTCAATGATGCGACACATTGGCTTTAGTTGACCATGGAACGTGACTAAACTGAGTAATGGAAAGCATTTCTCCAGCAACATATATATAAGATATCTTATGTCATTCAAGCAAACAACTTTAGCATATTTAAATTCTAAATAAATAAGGGTAAATTTACTTATTAAGTTTGAAATAAGAAAATATGGGAATTAAAAGAATCTATAGTTTTTTAGCTACCAATTTTAATACTATAGATACTTCTTTTCTTTTACATCTTGGCAAGTTTAGTCTTTACTATTTTCTTCATTTTTTTCTAGACTTAATTAAGCCCCCTGAGTATGAAACTTAATTTCTTATCCACTCCATTTCGAATGCTTTTGACAGGGCCACCGGGCATAGTGCCAACAGAGTAGAGTCGAAACAAACAAATAAACAAAACAAAAACAGCTGAAATGTTGCCATTTTAATTATCAAAAAAATGACTCGAAATGGCAGAACAAGGGGAGCCCCAAAATGTGGGGGAAACTAAGCAACATATATACATTTTTTGCTACCTTTTTTTACATTTCTTTTGGGACCTACATATGTAGGCCAAACAAATGAAAAGGCATCTCTCCACCCCCCTGCTTCGTCTAGCTCAAAATAAAAACGCATTTCTTTAGCACAATGTAAATCGGTCAAACCAATAAAAAAAAAGAAAACAGCAAATCTGCAACAACAATGCCTTTCAAGAGTTCTTTCAACTTGGCTTTTTAATGTGCCTGATTTTGTTACATTTAGAAAAATTCATTAAGCTAATTCGGATTTATTGAGGAAAACTTAAGAACTGATTGATAGCTCAAACTTTGAAATTACTAAAAGGTAATTTGAATATTTAAAATTAATTTTAAAGCTGTATAATAAAACTATTCAAGGTTAAATAAGAACTTAATGAGAAAATCAATATTAACTTAAAAGAATTTTAACCATACTCAAATAAATTATTAAGCAAATTAAATTGCAGATTAATTTATTTTTAGGTACATATTGAAATCTCTTCTGTTCATTTTAAATAGTTAAAAATCTGTCATAAATAATAATATTACAATATTTGTATATTGATAAAAGCAATTTAAATAATATCAACTTGATTGAACTCGACTAATATTCAAAATAAATAAATAAATATCAAGTACCCTTCAGCTGGTAATGTATGTTATAATTTATATTACTTTCTCGCAGTGTAACACGGAAATTCAAAAGTGTTGAGGACTGGGGATCAAGGCAAGTTCCTAAGTCGAAAAGTTGGTATCCCGGGATGGGGGACACATGTCATTGTCAGGCCGTGGTCCAAATGCAATTGAGCAAAATATCGCAATGAAGACTTGAGCACGACACAGCGAATAAGTAGTAGGAGTAGGAGATGGAGATGGAGACGGAGATGAAAATGGAGATGGAGGATGACGGATAAAGAACAAGAACAAGAACAGCGGAAATGAAGGCTCAGACAATGGGACCTCTCGCATTAGAAACTATTTTTTATACAGAGAAAACCCACAACACACTATTGTAGTAAGTAATATTCCGAAAACAAAACTAAAGAACTGGCAGAAATAGAACTAAAGAGAGAGAAATAGGGAAGATATAGGGAAAGCTTTGAAAAAAGCGATAAACATGTACAGTAAATATTCCATTAAATAAATACAATATTGATAACCTATCAATATATATGGGAAATAATATTAAAATATATATTTATCATTTTATATTTATATATATATTATAGTTGAAGAAGAAACCCCTCATTTGAGAGGTTTAGAACTTAATATTAAAATAGATATATTTATCATATCATATTTGTATATTAAAGTTAAAGAATAAGCAATAATATGAGAGAGTGAGTGATTGTATCAAATAATTTGCAATCATCTAACCTATTATTCACTGTAGCAACTCTTTTTGAATAGAAATCATTTGCGGAAACCCACGTCGCCACCAATCCAAGCCAGAATCTAAAAGCTCCAGAGGCAGATTCGGATTCGAAATCATAGAATGAACTGGCAGCAAGACGGAGAGAGGAGCAAGAAGACTTCGCCAAGAGCCACTCGCCCGGTCGGTCACATGGGAGTCTGTAGGGCGAGTTCAATGACCCGCAAGAGATTGGCACAACAACAGCAGCAGCAGCAGCAGCAGAGGCACAACACAACACAAAAAGCAAAACACAATGCCCTAGCTGCTCCCTTTTCTTCTCTTAACAACCCAACTAGCTATTGCCACCTTCACCTTCTCCCTCATTGGTGTTATCGAAATAATTCCCAATTATGAGTCAGTAAATGGGGAAAATCGTAGTTAAAAAAAAAGCAGGAGTACTGGTCACTAATAAATAGTCATATGCTACTCATACACTGACCCAGTTTAGAGGGAATAGGTATTAGATATAGATATAGTGTACATACATGTATCAAATGAATATGATTTGTAATGTTCAATATACATTTTAAAATATCGTATTTAACCATAAATGGTTTTTAATTTGTTTGCTTTTTGATACAACAAATATTCGATATATAAAACAAAGTATCTATTTAACGCATATAATGGACTATCTTTTTATATATTTAACTTTCAGGTCAAATACCGATACAGTATAGAAATTTTTTGTTTTTGCTTTGATAATGCACAATATGTCTTACTCAACTCTAGTTTTTCTATGTTACTTTTTTTTATACGCTTGCAGGGTATGATAATTTCAATCAGCGGTTCTATAATCAGTAATTGACTATGATCAATAAGTATCTATGACCAGTAAGTAACTATGAGCACTAAG